CGAGCCAGCTTGTGTTCTCTGTGTACAGGGTGAGAGAGGTATCATTGGACCTGAAGGCAGTCAAGGAGCTATCGGTGAAAGGGTAACACTGAATATGCTATATATAATACTTCAAACCTGAAAGACCGTGTTTGACCACCTTTCCAAACACCGAGAAGAAAGTTGAAAATACGACGCGTAGCGGAGTATTTTTGACGAACTTCGAGGTGTTTGGAAATTTGGTCTAATACTGTCTTGAGTGTTTGATATATCTTTTCAATCGAAACTAAAACTTAGGAGGAAACGGAGAAATAAGGACGGTGCCTACTTTTGTTAGTGCGCACACGTTCTGTGCATCATGCAAGGCATGGTTCAAGCGCCACTCGCGCGCTGGGTTGACATTAGGGAGTTTAAGAAGCTACGACGGCGACGCCGAGGAAAACGTCGATTTAAAAATGAATTTTTATTTTACTTACGAATCTCGCGATAGTCTTAAGTCATTTACTTTGTTTATGACTGTCAAAACTATCACGAAACTGAATCTGGGACACAGAGATAAATTTGAAATAGAAATTTAAAAAATTAGCCGTATTGGTTCACGTTGTTCAGACAACGCGGAATTTGGCCATTTCACGTTCTTGTTTTGCAGGGGACGGCAAAGAAATGTACCAAGAATCATAACGCACGTGCACAACCATTGTTCTGCTCATTAAACATTTTTTTTTAGCGACGTTCCCGTTGCAGTTGCCGTCGTGGCTTTCTTACACTTCGAGTTTACGAAACCACGACGGCAACGGCAACGGGAACGTCACTGAAGAAAAGGTTTAATGAGCAGTGCAATGGCTGCGCACGTGCGTTATGATTCTTGGTACATTTCTTTGCCGTCTTCTGCAAAACAACAACGTGAAATGACCAAATTCTGCGTTGTCTGGAGAACGTGAACTACGACGGTTAATTTTTTAAATCTTTATTTCAAATTTATCGCTGTGTTCCGGATTTAGTTTTGCGATAGTTTTGACAGTGATAAACAAAGTAAATGACTAAAGAGTATCG